ATTTAAATTTTCTCCGTTCCTCAAAAAATTCGAATTATTTTTTTCCCTACTTCTTTTCTCATCTTTCTGATTTATTTTATTTTATTTTTATTTATTTTTAAAATTCGAATTTTTTGGCGGCATCCTAAAATATGATTAGGACTTAGTCATTCTTGCTTTCAATACACATTTTGACCCCGTGGGGATAACGAAGTGCTGCCGAAATTTTTGAAAAATCCAAAACTTGGTTAGTTTCTCTTGACTCTCCTCCACCTCCTTATTTATTTATCTATTTATTTTTTTATTTACTTATTTTTCTGAAAATTTTAATTTGCGGCATTGTAAAAATTAGTGTGCTTCTCTTAGTCTCTCCTTTCTCTTTGCACATTTTGACCYCGTTGGGGTAAGAAAATGTTGTCGAAATTTTCAAAAAAATAAATAAATCCTCTTCCCTCGCTCTTTACATTTTTATTTCTTTATTTATTTTTATTTTTTATTTTATTTTATTTTTATCTCGAAATTTTATTGTTTATTCTATTTTCTTTCCCCCTCCCCTCCATATTATCTTTCTTCTTGATTTGGTCGCCACTACCCTCCCCTAACCACCTAAACTCCGGTTAGGGTTTTCTTAGGGTTTTCTAGGGTTTAGGGTTCTCCTAACTCTCGCCCCCCTTCCTACTTTCCCGCCTCCTCCCGTCGGCCACCCTGGACCTGGACGGCTCCTCCCCCCTCGAGCGGTTCGGCGCCTTCGTCTCACGCGCGACCCGCAAAATCSGAGRYGAGCCGACTCACACAKACTCACTCCGCTCCCGCGGTCCCCTTCCTCTTACCGGTGGGCCCCTTTCCCCACACACTCCTCTGAGGACTACCTCCAATCCCCTTCCGGCCATGGAAGGAGATCGTCGCGGCGCAGTCCTCACCCCAGGTCAGCGCGCCGTCAGCAACTCATGATCAGGCCCATGCGGACACGATGGACCTTCATGCCGTCCTTATAGCAATCCAGGCACAACTTTGTACGCTTGGACCGTTGCAAGCGCAAATCAATGCGCTAGCCCTCGACGTCAACCGCCTCAAGGGCTCCCCTCATCGCTCTCTCCACCGCTCTCACACCCCTTCCCCTACCAGCTCCGATTCCGGCTCCGCAGGACTCCCGAGACGGAGTTACCATGGTTCCCCCTCCTCTGCAGGCCAGGCCCAGCACTCCCTCTCAGCGGTGGCGAGTGCTGCTGCCGCTCAGACCACCCCGTCCGTTGAGGCAATTCTTTCGGCCACGCCCGCTCCTACCATCTCTACTACCGCCGTAGGTGCTGCGGTCCAGGTACAGCGATCTGGCCGCGCAGTTTCATCGACCTACCCCGGTGTTGCTTCCCAGCTTCCCGCACCGGTCGCGGCAATACGGCTCCGCCCTCTTCTTCCTGCCTTCGTCTCCCCACCCCCATAGCAGGCTACCGCCCAGACTGGGATTCCTCATCCTACTGGGCGACCCGCTCCGCCCCCTCCACCTCCGACCCCGTGCACCCAGCGAGTGGCCACTTTACAGGCCACCATTGCGCAAGCTCAAACAGAGATTCTCGCTCTGAGACAGCCTCACCCATCACAGGCTTCCCACCCTTCTTCCTCTACCACCCCTTCGGTCCCCATGATGCCGGCTCGTTTCCCTCGACCTGCTCCTCAGCCTCTTCCCTCCTACCTGGGTATTCCGGTGCCCGCGGCCGTTGCCTCCTCGTCTGCTGGTCCATCCGCTAGCGGCCACGGCCCACAGCCTTCCCCCACCTCTGCCCCTGCAGCAGCCTCGACTTACGCTACCGCAGTGCACTCGCCTCGATCTCTCTCCCCCCTCCATCAGCACAGTGGACATCCTCCTGTGCGCACCACGGACATTCCCGAGTATGATGGCACATCCCGTGTCTCTCGCTGGTTGCAGATAGCAACACGCACGCTCTCTATGACGACCACCCGTCAGGAGTTGTGGTGCGATGTGCTCGCAACCAAATTGCGAGGTAGCCCTTCCACTGCGTGGGAGGATCATTATACCCAGCGCCTCCGCGTGGGTGAGGTCCCCACTTTGGCCGACTTCGCGGCCTTCCTTCAGGACCGTTTCGGCGCTCGTCATGACGCCACCGACGCCTTAGACCGCGTCACCCAGACCACATGGTCCGGGTCCTCTGTACCGGCCGACCTGGAGCGTCACATCCGGGTGTTTCAGGAAGCTCGCCTTGTTTGTGACGAGACGTTCCTACCGGAGGTCACACTCACCGACCGGTTCCTTGTCAGCCTGCCGACTGACTACCGCCTAGAGCTATGGAGGCGATCATTCTCTTCCGCGGAGCAGGCATACGAGGCTGCGCGTCAGTACCAGAGGATGTGCAGTCGCTTCTCCGTCGCCCCATCCTCTTCGCGGCCAGCCGCCACCTCCCAGTCTCGGGGTACCACCCGAGGCCGCTCCTTGTTTGTCGGTCGTTTTCGTCGCCCGGCTCGACCTGGAGCGCCATTCGCTCGGCACTACAGTTCTCTCGAGTATGGAGAGGACGCCTCAGCCGAGCTCGATCCTACCATTGGGGACGCCCCCGAGGACATCGAGCTTCGGGACGTCATCCAGTACCACTTGGATGACGACCCTGTCCCAATGGTCGAGCGCCTGCAGATGGCCATGTCTGCCATGGGTCGTGCACGCAGTCGGGTTGCACAGGCTGGCGCCGCCACACCCACAGTTCCTCAGATAGACGTCCCGCAGGGTTTTGTCCCTCCTCGCGGAGCTCTATCCCCCGAGCAGCGTGCCGCCCTCGAGGCGCGACGAGGCTGCCTTCGTTGCCGCCAGGATGGACACACCTCCTCACGGTGTCCATACCACACTGCCCTCGATCGGTACTACGGTGACATTTCTCGTCAGCGCCGATCTCAGTTCCCCCCCGGCCCCGCCCGGCCAGCCCCACCCAGCTAGCCACGGTGCAGTGTACCCCTCAGGCCTCGCACGTAGCCGGCTTCCCGACCACCGAGTCGCGGTTTGCCCCTTTGGCTACCCCACCAGAGGACCCTCAGGATACGTCAGACGCAGTTCTCTCTGCCCCGACGTCTGTCGAGGTACTGTCTGCCTCCCCGCAGACCGCCACATCTAGCGCTTCTCCCCCGAGACTTCCGACGCATCGCGCCATTCGCACAGCTCGTTGTAGCACTCAGCTGGCGACTCGCGATGACGTTGTGTCATCTCTCCTGGACATGAGCATTCTGCAGGCTCGTCAGGAGCGACTCACGAGGCACGTCAACGTCCTGCGTCGTCTTCTCGCTCTGCTCTCTGATCCTGATCACACCCCACCCATTATCCCTATTCGCCTAGGGACATCTACAAGGGTGTATCGCGCTTTATGGGACTCCGGCTTGCAGGGAGATTTCGTTCACCCTCGAGTGGTTGAGGAAGCTCGCCTAGCTACCTCTGGGTCTCCCTCTCCTATCTCCGTTACCCTCGGAGATAACAAGATGCAGCGCTTCTTCGATCAGACGGTCCCCGACCTGCACTTCTCCCTCACCCTCCAGCCATCGGATAGTACCCAGACGCCTAGGCGCTATCATTCCTCCGCATACTTCGACGTGCTGGAGACTACTTCTCAAAACGAAGTGCGGCCAGACCCTTCGAGTCCCCTTCATTGGAACCACGGGTGACACCCTCCCAGACCTACCTCCCCAGGACCCTCGTCCCTCTGTGTCCCACCCAGACATCGCCTTCACTTCCCCTCATCAGTTTGCTCACTTCATCCGACAGGAGGACGTCACATTCTACTCAGTGAACGTCATGGATCTTCTTCGCTATGATCCACTCTGTCCCGAGGTTGAGCTCATCTCACTGGAGCCCGATCCCCCTGACCCTTCCTCCATCTTCGCGGCTCCCATCTCCACATCCACCCGTCAGCCTGCGGATACCCCCTCCACGTCCCAGGCCCCAGCGCCGCCGACCGTCGAGTCCACATATACGTCTCGTGCCGACGCAGACGCTGAGGAACTCACACGGTTCACGGCAGACTTAGAGCCCGCCGTTCGCGACCTGATTCGAGAGTACCGCGACGTCTTTCCCCCGTACTTCTCATACAGCGGGATTCCCTCGATGCGCGGTGTTGAGCATTCTATACAGCTCGTGCCTGACTATCGTGTTCACCATCAGGCACCGTACCGACTCTCGATTCCAGAGGCGACGGAACTCAAGCGTCAGCTTGAGGAGATCCTTCAACTGGGTTTCATGAAACCTTGTAACTCCCCTTGGGGTGCACCTGTCCTCTTTGCTCGCAAAGCGGACGGAACTCTTCGCCTCTGCATCAACTACCGCGGCCTTAACCGTTACACGGTTAAGAACAGCTATCCTATGCCCCGCGCGGATGAGTTGTTTGACCGTCTGGCAGGCAACCGCTTCTTCACGAAGATCGATCTTCGTAGCGGTTACCACCAGATCCGCATTGCCACAGAGGATCAGCCGAAGACCGCCTTTCGGTCACGCTTCGGCCATTACGAGTTCACGGTGATGCCATTCGGCCTCACCAATGCCCCCGCCACCTTCCAAACGGCGATGAACGACATCTTCAGGGACATCCTTGAAGAATACGTTCTCGTATACCTGGATGGCATCTTGGTCTACCGTCGTACCTTAGAAGACCATCTCAGACACCTCCGCGATGTCCTACAGCGCTTACGCAAGCATGACTTCTATGCCAAGCTCAGTAAGTGCCGATTTGCCCAGCGCAAAGTGGACTTCCTAGGACACCATGTATCTGACCAGGGTCTCCACAATGACGACGCAAAGATCACTGCTATTGCAGAGTGGCCCGTCCCCGCATCTCCCAAGCAGCTTCGCAGTTCCCTAGGCCTCACCAGCTACTATAGTAATTTTATCCAGGGATACGCTAGGTATTTCTACGTCCTTACCTCTACCCTCCTTCGGAAGAACCCGCCGTGGTTTTGGACACCCCTGTGCGAGGACGCCTTTTGCGCCCTCAAGAAGGCGGTGACCTGTGCGTCGGTTCTTCGCCTTCCCGATTTTGATCGCCCCTTTATCGTCACCACTGATGCGTCAGATTTTGCAGTAGGAGCTGTCCTTTCTCAGGTGTTTCCCTCTCCTCCAGATTCACCTTACCCCCATGATCCTCCTTTCCCCCCCCTCCTACTGACATTGCTTCTCGACTGACGCCTACCCTCCCACCACTTCCCTCCACAGACAGTCCTCGTGTTACTTACTCCCCGACCATCGCGGAGGATGGGACTATCGAGGCTCGTGAAGGGGATTGCCCGATCGCTTTCTCCTCCCGTCAGTTACTGCCTGCCGAGATAAACTACACTGCCGATGAACGTGAGGTTCTCGCAGTAGTTTATGCTACCCGGCATTGGCGTCATTATCTCCACGGGGCTCCCTTCACGGTGCGCACGGACAACTCAGTTGTCCAGGCTTTCCTCACAAAGCCTAAGCTTTCCCCTCGACAGGCACGCTGGTGGCTTGAATTATCCGAGTTCAGTTTCACCACTCAGCCCATAAAGGGTGAAACGAACCGTGTCGCCGATGCCTTGTCCCGCCGTCCTGATCACAATCAGGAACCCATTCATCTTGCTGCCATCTCCATCACCACTATTGATCAGTCGGTGATCGACGTGTATCGTACTCAGTACCGCCACTGCCCCGATTATCGCGTCATCCACGCGACACTGCGGAGTGGTAAGACCGTTCCTTCCTACTCCCTCGGGGAGAACGGCCTCGTGTACTGGCATGACAGATCTGGTCAGCAAGAACCACGTATCTGCGTTCCCTCCCCCGGACAGCTCCACGTTCAGGCTGTAGCAGCGTTCCATGATCAGGCAGCTGCCGGTCATATGGGTTTCCACAAGACGTTGGCTCGTGTTTGCCGCCTATACGTCTGGCCGAAGTTCAAGGACTTTGTCAAAGCCTACATCCAGGAGTGTCTTACCTGCCAGGAGATGAACAGTGCGAACCACCTTCCGTATGGGTTACTTCAGCCCCTACCCATACCTGAAGGTCGTTGGCAGTCCATCTCGATGGATTTCATTGGTCCCCTCCGCCCACCCACTGAGCAAGGTCATGATGCTATCTTGGTCATCGTCGATCACTTCACGAAGCGTGTACGTTTTGTCCTGTGCCGCTATCGCATTAGCGTTCGTGAGGTCGCCAATATCGTCTTCGACTGAGTCGTGAGAGATCACGACTTACCTCAGAGCATCATCTCCGACAGTAACCCGCGCTTTACCAGCACATTCTGGCGACGCCTACACGAGGTGTACGGATCCCCGCTCCGCTTCTCATCGTCTTACCACCCTCAGACGGATGGTCAGACTGAGGTCACCAATAAAACTCTCGGTAATATCCTCCGAAAGTTTGTTAGGGATGACCAGCAGTGAGACTTACACTTAGCCCACGCGGAGATTGCGTACAACCACGCTGTTTCGCCAGCAACGGGGATGTCGCCATTCTATTGCGACCTCAGCTACCACCCTCGCGTACCCGCGGATTTCCTACGACTATCGCGGTTGTGCCCAGACACTCGTTGCCCTGCGCTTGACGACTGGATCGCCCACATGACGGCAATTATGAAGCGAGCACACGAGAGTTTAGCCGACTCCCAGACTCGCATGGCCGCACGAGCGAACCAATCACGAATGGATCATCCATTCAAAGTGACGATGTGCTCGTCGATGCACGCCACTTACAACTCGAAGCAGATATGTTTTGCAAGTTCAGGCGTCGTTTCTTCGGTCCATGCCGCATCCTTCAGGCCGTCGGTTCTGATACTGCCGCTAGTTTGGTCAGCTTCCGTGTGAAGCTACCTGATTAACTTCGACAGACTCGCGTACACGATGTTTACCACGTCTCCTTGCTGCGTCCTTATCGCAGACCGTCCGAGCGCTTCGCCGGACGCCCTTATGAGCGCCCTCCACCTATCATGGTGGACGGTCACAAGGAGTTCGTTGTTTCCGACATCGTATCACGCCGAGTTACCGACGATACCCTTCCACGCATCGAGTACCTTGTGCGTTGGAAGGGCTACCCTGATGAGGAGGCTACTTGGGAGCCTCTCGAGCACTTGCAGCACGCCAGGATGTTGGTGCGTGCATACGATCGTGCTCGTCGTGCTGAGATGTCTGCCCCTGCTCGGCCGACTGACCCTCTTCCTCCTCCTCCGGCTGAAGAGATTGTTGAGGACGAGCCCACTCCCTCTGAGGCCGTTCCTCAGCCGCAGACTCTCGCCTCCGAGCGTCCACAGCGCACTCATCGTCGCCCTTCGCGTTACGATGACTGACACTCTTATCCTCTATCTTTCCCCTACTGACTCACACCATCAGGTACTCCATCATCAGCTTCTTCAGGATTTCAGCGTTTTGCAGCTCTGCTTCGACATCGACTCAACTGCTACTTCATCGACGTCATCGACCACTTCGACGACTTCAGCTACCTTATCGGCTTCAGCTACTTTGAACGTGACTACTTCACGCCACCACCCTACCCAGTACATTCCCTTGCATCTGTCGCATGATGGTTCTCACTTAGYTGGGTCTCTTTGAGTTGGGCTCTCCCTTGGTATTATATAGGCATTGGGACCGTAGCGTTATATTGACTTCATTGCTCCCAGATCTAGCTCCCTCCTCCCCCAGTCGGTGAGTTGTGTGCATGTTTCCCTCACCCACTGCCCTCATCACCCTAGTGTGGGCCCTTGCATGCCTTCAGTTAGGCATATCTCCACCCTATTCCAGGCTCCCCCTTTTTTCATGGTCGACCCTGCATGGTGTCATCCTTTTGTCGAGCATTACCTGCCCTGATGGTTTATCTGTTAGGGTCTTTGGTTTTGTTTTGCTACCACTCTCCCACCTTGAGCCTGGTGACCTATCCCACCTTCACGTGTGACTGCCCTTAGGAGTTTCGATTCTTAGGCTGCATTCACCTCCTCTGAGACCATCCCACCCTTAGTGGTTCAGCGACAGGACATTATCTTGTGCCATATTGCTCTTTTTCCTTTCAACACTGAGGCAATTGCCTCCAGGACTTTAGGATTGTATATTGCTACATTTACTTTTTGCTATTAGCTAGGATATGGATACCAGACATTTGCTTTTCTTTTGACATTATGTAGCTTAGGATGCATGGACTCCGCATCCATGATTTCTCAGTTTTCTTTATTGCAGAGTTTCGCTGCTTTTGCGGATAGCGTGTTTATGGCTCTTGCGATCCATTACAGATCTGAGGATTGTGCAGCGGGCCTTCATCTGCCCTGGGCTACAGCCAGGGCCTATTTGGCTATTTGCCAGTTCGGCCTGTGGGACCAGGCCATGGCCTGACCCCACAGGCCGTGTGATGTTCCAGTCCTGCCCGGTACCACTGTCGGTACTAGGCCAGTCCAGTCAGTTAGTCCGCTGGGGGTATACCCCAGCTGTAGTCTGTTTTTGATTCATTCTTCATTTGCACAGATTGGAGTACGTTCGTGTTGAGTCTGCGTTGGAGCTGCGTTGTCCCTTCCAGCTCCATCTCCATCTCCCCTATCCTCATCCCTTCGTCTTGATCCTGACGGACCGCCATCCCGGTGGATCCGTCACACCTCTGGAGGTTCCCGCAATTGCGTATTCTTTTTAGACCTGTTTCTTTCTGGAAACAGAACAAAAGAATTTGACGTTTGGTGGGCAGCTCTCGTAAGAAAAAGCAAAAAAAAAAAGGAAAACGGGATGAATTTTTATGCATCGTGTTGTGTGACCCCTTGACCCGTATAATCGCATTCCTAAAGCAGGTCGAGACTGTGTCCTTTCTGTTTCGTGACATGTACGGGTGTGCTGTGTGACTGGGAAGTGCCGTATAATCCCAAATTGGCTCACATATAATTTGCGATTGTACGTGCTAGTATGCGTATGCCCTCAGCTAGCTCAACACTTTGAAGCTTGTGGCAGATATGTGAATTATTTATTTATTTATTTATTTATTTATTTTTGGGAGAACATAATATCAGTTTATTGCCAAGAAATAAGTTGAGGCCGGGGAGCTCACAATTCTACCCGGGGACTGGGGCCATTACCCAAATTCGACTCAAAATTGGAAACCGGGTTCAGCATCCCCCAACTCACTCTCAATCCAAAACAACTCTCACAAAAAAACAACATTCTCGCTCGATAAAAAGATGAGGAAAAAGACACTTTAGGATAGTCGGGCCTAAACCTAGAGTCTACCTCTACAGATCCTTGTTTGAAATCAGGCCTCTTAACATCTCCTTGCATAGCTTCTAACTTTTATTCATGATGCAAAACAGGAGAGGACAGGAGCTACTCTGAGCAACTTGTATCCAAGACAGAAAGGGGGAAGGAGAACCTCTGCTCAAGGTGGCGTACTAATTCGTTCCCTGTGACCTATTGTGGCCAGTAACCAAGGACAAAAGGAAAATTTTCCCCTATCATCTATTCTAGACAGGCCTGAATCTCTTCCCCAAGTATCCCAGAACCACTTCCGTCGATTCTGATTTATTCCTCGTGTCGTTCATCTTTGCCAGTCGGAGTGGATCGTTCTTCTGATCTCCGAGGTAATCCGCTTCTTGATTTGAATATCAGACATGAATTGACGGCGAAACAATTGATTATTCCTATCATCCCTGAACATCTTCATTATGATGTTCTGATTACTTGGTCCACATACTTCCATTCTCTCGTACCGTTTCCATAGCCAGTCAAGATCCATTCGTCTGTCCACTCAAAACTGTTCTTAGTTATGATCTTGTTCCAGCGTTGAATCCACCAGTCCCAGATGCGTCGTGAGGCTGGACAGGTAAGCCATAAGTATCGCGTAGTCTCCCATCCCCATTTATATCTTGTACAGGTTGTAGAAATTCCCATACCTTTTGCCACAAACCATACCGCAAAAGTTGTGGCCAAAATAGCTTGTAACCAAAGCATACTCTCCAGCTTCTGAGCGGGGAGGCCCTTCAACTCTACCCAGATGGTCTTCATTGTCACCATAGAAATACCTGGCATACCTTGCTCAGAGCCTCAGACCATCTCTTCGGCACAGTAGTATACGGTTGCTTTTTAACTTTCCTTCTAAGGAGTTCAGTGCCCAACTTGAATTTATACTCATCGAAAGGTATCAACTTACCATTCTGAGTATTGTACCAACCTACTGCAGATGGGTGGTTACCGAGTGAGATAACTGATCTACCTTCTGCAACTAGCAGAGTTCTAATCTGAGTTGGGTCCTTGCCATTTCGTCATATTAAAGTTCGAACTGCAACTTCTTCAATCCCTCCCATTCAGTCCAATTTACCCTTTGCATCCGGATGAATATCTTTCGTAAATGTCGAGTCATCTGCC